TTTTCTAGCCTCCATGAGAAATCATTTAAATTAGTCTCTTTGTTGATGTTTATTATGTCCATTCAAGTGTATAATGAAAACACAGATTTTTTGTCTTATAAATACCACTTCTAAGAGAAACAGGAGAATTACAGGCATACATCACAAAGACAGAAGAGAAACCTAAGCTGCCAGGAAAGAATTAAAAAGCATTAAATGGAGCCAACTCCCCAGTTTAACTCAGCACACTGCGTTAGGAAATTGCACACGGTCAGAATATCTGATAAAATGAAAACTTCTGATTTCACACAGAGAAAAAAAAATATTAAATGAAAATTATTTGTTTAATTTTCAGTAATTTCTTAAATCAGTGTGAGGTTCATATTTATAGAAAAGCAGATGCCTTTCACAAAACCGGTGAAGAGGAGAGAGGGGGACTGCAGCCGTATTTCTGCTCTTACATTTGGAGGAAAACCTCGAATTCAAACCTAGTCTCTGTCTGCTTCAAAGCAGGGACTGGACCGTGGGGGCCCTTCCTGCTGTGAGAGTACACTCATGTCATAGATATCAGCTCTGTGATTCCCCCTCAGTGAAGTACCTCCACCTGTATAAACACGTAACCGTAAATTAGACCAGGCAGCAAGAGACTGGCTGTAAGGCTGCCCAGAAAGGGCAGGCACTGAGGTCCTGGTCCCACTGGGGGACAGGCAGAGACCTAACGAGAGTGAGACCTGACTTCTAATGCAACCTCCTCCCTGGTTTTGTGTCAAAGTCCCTATCAAGCATCCAAAGGATTTAACATGTCCTTCAGTTTTGGGTTTAAAAAAAAACATTAATCAAAATTAGTTAATCCAAATTTTAAATAATAATTAATAAATTAATAAATACATTCAATTTAATTAATTAAAATTAATTTTTAAATAAAGAAGAAAAATTATTTATGCAGAAACTTTTGCCACCCTTCACCCATATTTATGGGGCGCTTTTAGTTGATTGAAACTCCGCTCCCGCAGCTGTCCTAGCCCTATATGTCCATAAGCCAGGCCCGAGCAGCCAACGCTTTTGCTCTCATAGAAGTCTTGCCCAAGGTGTGGGCTGCGTCACCTGGTGTGGCTGTAACACCCCTGTGGCTCTGGACGAGCCCTTCTTACTTGTGGCACAAGTCATTGGTCATGGGTTAATATTGCTTGGGTCCACGCTGGGAACGTTCATCCCCTGGCTGAAGCACACCTTGCTCTTTCCCATCAGATGTGCAGCTCAGCCCAGTCACCTGCGAGGGGAGCAGCGGGATTTCGGTGCTGGCCCCTTTGGTATCCATCTGCTTGGGGGCACCCGCTGTTCCCTTTCACCAGGTGTAACTGGGAAGAAAGCCATTAGATCTCAGAGCGCTGTGTTTCTTCGCCCTCCCTAAAATTTCACAAATCTCACCACCTCCAGCTGAAAACCTGCAAAACCTTTCAGCGCACTGGTTTTGCCATCTGGTAACATTCCTAACTCCAGAGCAGCACTAAGTCCAACAGGCAGCATGGAGGTGGGTCCCTCGACAAGCAGACTGGCTTGTCCTTCAGGTGACACCAAAAAGGAAACAAGGCCCCTTGCCAATGAGATAGGAGGAAGACCAACAACAGTTCCCCGAAAAATCCAGCCAAACCTGCCAGGAATCTAGAATTGTGTTTTACCTGTTAAAGATTGTACAAAGATTTCTTATTTTATTCTAATAATGCTTTTAACGATCTTCCCTTTGCTCTGCATTTAGTATTTTGTTCTCATTAGGAGAAAATTTCCAGTTTAAGAGTAAAAATTTAAAACCTTTAAACGGTCCAATTCTCATACTGAAAACTGAGTTGCAATGTATGATTTATTTGGATATATAGGGAGGAAAGATGTAATCTTACTAGGTTTATTTCATACTTTATGTGCTGTAAACTAGGTCCAATGCAAAGTTCAACTTAGACACCATCAAGTGAAGTCCTGGATGTGGGTCACAGTTCTGTTAGTTGCCCGCCAACCCCACCCTGCAGAATATGGTCACGAAGATGCTCCAACAGAGCTTGGCACCTGGATCCTTGGGTTTCTCATTTGGTTTCACCTCTAGGAGCAGAGCAGTTATGGCACCTCTAGGAACAAGCAGTTTATCAAACCAGAGACTGTTTCCAGTGCCATCAGCTATCAAAAATGTATGTGCCCATTTTGAAACTCTTTCCTTTAGTGATATTCATAGCAGCAATAGAAACTATAGTCGGAAGATTTGCTTTCTTCCCTTGCCTAAACTTATTATAGCGTTGCCTGGATGACTTCCCATTGTGGTTCAGGCTGAAGTAGCGATGGGAATTACCTCTGGAAACATAGCAGGGAGACAACAGATGGAAATTGTACATGTCTGAAGTGTCACATGGTGACCCATGCCACAGCAAACACACCTCATCTGGAAAGCAGGGAGCAAAGAAACGCTTCCACTCCCTATCCCTGATCCTTTCTTCAAAGCGTGGACTAATGTGGTGGTACCTGTGGTGGGACTCCAGCAGGGACAGGCGGGCACGCCGGAGTGTCACCGGTAGTGAGACAGGGTCAGTGCACCTACATACAGCCCTGGATGTGTTGGTGCTGTATCCTCCTGCCGATGGCAGCGCTGGGCCTGGAGGGCTCTGCCACCTCTCCACGCAGGATGCACCCCTCGGCATCCTCTTCTCGCACTTTGCAGGAGGAGTCACAGACTCCCCAGCCTGTGTATTTAAAGAGCTCCTCCAGCCGGTGGTGTATACAGTGGGGAGAGAAGGCAGCCCTGCACACTGGGAGGGTTAGCTGGGGTCACGTACAGGTGGGATGGCAGAAGTACTGCAGGGAAGGATCTGCAGCAGCACCCCTGCACTGCCCTTGCATTTCCAGCTTATAAACCTCCATGCTTTCCCTCTGCCCTTCCTTCTCTGTCTGGTTTCTACTCACTATCAGAGCAATCCTCAAATTTGTTCCCACACAGCTGATCTCACTGCCTCCCACATCCAGTCTGATCCCTTCATGCCACCCGGCTCCTCTCCTAACTTACCCCTTTGCTCCCCCACCCACACAAACCCCGAGTCTTTCTCACCACCTCAGATGCTCAGCGCACCCTCCCAGCTATCATCCTTACTCTGCTTCTTTAAACCACTTCTCTCAACTCAGAATCCAGTATCACGGTAGCCATATGGTATCAGGTTTTGTGCCTAAGCATCGTCCTTATAAGCCATGCACAAATGAGAAAATAAAGCTGGTTCTTATTATTCAGTGCACACAGCACAGGAGGAGTTACAAAAAGCAATACTCTGAGGGAAGGATGGAGACACACTAAGGGCTTTCGAATTTTATGCAGCCTTGTGAAAATATGATGTAGAGCTCAAACTATAAATGCCCACTGAATACAGCGTTGTGTGCTATTAATCCATTAAAAAAAAAAAAAAAGAAAAGTGATTCTGCTCTCTCTCTTTTTTTGTTTAGATATTAAGAAGAGCAGACAAGAATGGTAAGACTGATCATGTGTCTTTCCCCCTCCCTTTGGAAAAAAAAATAATCCATCATTGATTCAGCATTTTAAGTCATGCTTTAAACATCCTAACAGGGAAACCAGCCATCCCTCATGTCATCTTGTGTTTTCTGTGGGTTCAATGCACTGTATTTTGTTGTGCACTGATTCATCCTATGGGTTCTTTAAGGGCAGATCTTGTGCTTTCACAAATTGGCATGTGTGTTTGATTTGCACTTTGGGTGCACGTGGGTGTTTTCTTAGTGACATTGTGTTCACAAGAAGGTTTGAAATACTTGTTAGTAGCTCCAGCTTATTACTTCTTAAAAACACCGTAGGCTATATCCAGCAGTCAGACTTGCATTTGGCAGTTATATATTTGTTCAGTGTGTTGGTAGGCAGAATAGAGACTTCAACTCACATATTTATAACACAACAGTCATGAGTTTTTTATTATGTTCTTAATGGAAAGTTTTTTCCCTTGTGCCTACTGACTGTTTTTCCTTCCACATATATTTTTTCTCTTGTTTAAATTCCATAAGTTGGAGCATAGTACTGTAAGGCTTCACAGATGCTCCAGTTTGGCCTCGGCAGTGGAAGCGCCTTGCTGTAAGGACTACAAGGGTAACCACTGGATTTTTTTTTCTGCTGGTATGCGTAGTCATGGTCTTGAACCTGACTTTAACTCCTTTTCCCATCTGAGAATTGCTGCACAATTTTGAACCAATTGCATTTTTGTGCCACATACCCCAGCAGAGAAATGAAGCCGCTACCATGTCCCTGTGTCACACAGAGTGTGCGATTCAGTATGTTTGAGGCTATGAAGGGCTTCTGTAGCTCCGCAGTTACCATAATAGTATGCATACTTAACTCAGATAACCAAATTTGGATCTTACAGGACAAGAAGAAAACACAAGCTTGCAATTATTTAGCACTGTAATACTGAAGTACGGAAAGAAGGGAGATGCAAATTCTTGCAGAAGCATGGGAGAGACTTCAGTCTTTTCCTGGAGGCATGGAACAGGGTCAAACCCACAGCTCAGACAGATTCAACCCTGGCAAGCAATTCCCAGTCAATCCTCAGAAAACAGGTGTTATGCAGGTTTGATAAAATATACAATCAGGTATTGTTTTGGTGTGAGGTAAAACAGAACCGATCTTCTGTTCAGTAAGTTCCAAACCACAACAGGTATCTGAAGGCAAATGGATACCATTGAGAAAATCAGGGAGAATAACTTTCAAGGAAGAACTGTTGGACAGCAAGGGGCTACCATACAGTCTGATGGCATAGCTGAGCCTGTTGAGTAACGGTTTACTGTTGCTGAGAAGGCAATCCCACCTCACAGTCCACCTCCACCTGCGTATTTCTGCCCCAGCCTGTGTGTGGCAACTGGCACTTCCCACGAAACCATGGCAGGCTCCTTCAGGGAGCTCAGGAGCCACAAAATCCATCACTGTGATAGTTTTTTGGAATTGTTTTTCTTATCTCCCTCAGTCAGTTTGCCAGTGCCTTGCAAGGGCAGTGATGGGGCAAGTTGAATCCCAAGGTGAGTGCTGGGATGGGGAGGAGAAAGATCTTCCCCTTCAGCAGTGTCTTTCCAGCTTAGCTACATGCCAACCACAGCCAAGCTCTGCTGGCATCCCCCGCAGACCTCCTCATGGTGTTTGGAATAGATGTTTATCTGTCTGCTCTGAAGACTGATGAAAGTCACAGCGCATGGTGCAGAGCACCGGTCGTCACCCACATGGAGTCAAAAAGAGCCCCTGCAGCTCCATGTCCCGGCCCTGGACTTTGAACTCATGTTCTGTCTCAGCTCTGGTGGATCCACAGCACTTGGGTGGGTCAGGAAGGCTTCCAGTCCTCACTGGGGTTACCCCACAGCTTATTACTTATACATTACTATTAAAATAGGGGAAACAGCTCACACGATCAGTGACAAATTTGCTTGTTCCAGAACAATATGAAACGACATCAGCACCAGAGGCTTTGGTCACCGGCATTCATACCTATATATGGATGCTTTACAACATATTATTGGGAGGAAAATGTCTCAGTTCAGTCACTTTAGGTCTATTAATTTAAGTCCATGAACTTCAAATGGCTTCAGCTCTTACGTGCTTAATTGGGTTTGCTCAACCGCCAGTTGCCCGTGGGACTTCCACTTTGCTGATCTAGCACGGCAGAGCCTCGTGCCACACTAATAGGGAGGAGATTTGTTTTAAGGCTGGGAAGTTAGGTAGCTTCTCAGAACGGTTATGGGATGTGTGAACGCTTACCTAACATGTTTACACTGTTGTCAACACAGATTATTAGCTTTTGTTAATGATGAGGATACTTACACTTTCAGTGTCACCTTACTGTAAACCAAATGTATAGGTTTACAGTAACAAATAGTGTTACTGTCTGTGCCATGCCCCTGTTAAGTGCACCCATACACTTTTAATAGGGCTTTCTCAGAGCTGCCGTATTCATTCTCTTTGTGAGAATAAAATACCCCCAAAAAATTTATCATCAAAAACCTTACTAGGTACTTGCTTGACAGCAAGAAAAAAGTAAATCCCCAAAAGTGGATCAAGCTGATAAATAGGAGTATTATAGGAGACAGCAGTCTTACTATGAATTTAGGGACTGTGGGACTTCAGGTTAGCCTTCTGCAACATGGAAAGACAACTATTCTCGCAAAGACAATATAAAATAAGAGCTCAAAGGAGCCACGAGATCCTGCTGGATTGCCGTTACTCAAAAAACATTGCAATGATTTATGGCAGCTAGGTTTAATTGAGAAACTCCTTTATCAAACAGTCATTCCCCTATTCGAAAGAAGCTGTACAAATGTACAAATGTTGTTTCTTTTAGGGTGGTGGTTTCTTTCTTTGCCAGCCCAGGTATGTGTATCATTCTGTTACCCTCCCATTTCTGGAAATATCAGCTGGGCACAGCTTCCATGAGAGGATCAGCTTCATAAGCTCTATCTATAGTTTTTATTTCGTGGCTGAGCACCTCTGCTCTGTATGGAGCAGACCCACACTCCTCCCGCAACTGAAAAGGCCATGTGATTTTCTTGAGAGAGAACAAGGCATAGGGAAGGAATATCACATTTCTAAGAAATACATAGTTCATAATATTTACAAAAGCAATAGAAAATCCTGAGGGGAAAAAAGCAATTTCATAAAGGTGAGATGTTGCACATTGACCTTTTTGGAAAGGAAAAGTTTCAGGTTTGCCTGTCAGAATGAAATTTTTGTCAGGTTTACTTTACAAAACTCCATGCGTTCCAAGGAAAGTGTGTGGACTTCACATAGAACAGATTTGGAAGAATTCCAGCTAAATGGAAAGTTCTTCGTTTATTTCATTCCTTTTGCTATTTAAAACAAAATCAAAATCATTAAATTTCTCTCAAAAAATCGTGTCCCTAACCTGCAAGGGAGGGTGTAAAGAAATATGGGAAACTGGAACTGCCAAATGCAGTCTTTCCTAATCAAAAAAAATTTTTACCTCTCTCATCCCACAGGCAACAGTGGTTGCCCCACACACGTGTGACTGCAGCACCTATATGTGCTTGTCTGCATGAGGTGTTTGTCTTGTCTTCTGATAAGGGACATGGGGCACCCCATTAGCCTTGCAGTGATTTGCAATCAAATGAAATTATATCCATTGTTGGTAAAGGTCACCCAGGGACCTCTCCTGACCATGCAGTTTGACACGTGCCCTATTAGTTTAGCTTCATGCCATAATTCTTTCCTGTTAGCACAGGAATAGAAATTCAAATATAGGCTATGTTGCAGAAATCCAATCACAAGCATTCTGACTGTCAAAATGGGGAAGAAAAAGGGTAATAATCTACTGAGAATGCAATTCTCAATCTTGCAAGAGTAACAGTTTTCCTTCAGCTGAGGGAAGGTCCTTCAACACTGATGGTTCAACACTGAGCAGAGCCAAGGAGTACCACAAAATAACTGGAGAGCAGTGCCCTGCCTTTGCCTGCATCAAGGTGGGGATCGTTTCTCTTCCCATCCTCCTGGGGAAGAAGAGGGTTGCTCTTCCCTTTTATCAGAGTCTACCTACTTTATCATCTCCAGCTTTTTCTTGGGGGGAGCCTGGCTGCTGCAGATCTATTCTCTTATGACAGTGGGAAAAAAATGACTCTGAGCCCAGTGGCTTGGCTGTGGGCTGTTGAGTGTATGCACCAGCACAACAGCCACCCTCCTGTTCTGGAGCATGGGCCTCCCCTCCTACTCTGGGAACATGGCATGCCCTGCCATTTAAAACTCCCCTTAGCACTTTGCAGTGTGAAAACAGCCACCCAGTCAAACGTGGAGGGAGGAGGGAGTGACCACCAGCTGTGTCCTCCAAAGGGAGGACCTCTCAGCTGTCTCTCTCCTCCGCAAGTTTGATTATGGTATTTGATGATGAATTTGTTCCAAACTTACAGCTCCTGCCCCCAAACTCTCGGATCAGCTCCAAGCAGGAGCCCTAAAATGGGCAGGTCTGATATGATGGGTTTATAAAAGATGGTTTGTATATAGATGCTGTCATTGATTTGCAAATTCAACTCAGCTGTTATGAAAATGCACTGAGTATAAGCTATATCTCAAACATTCTGTAAGATCCTAAAAGAAGATATTTGAAAACATCATAGGAAATATCTGCTATAGAAGCAGAGATTTCCCCTCACCGCCCCCCCCCTGATTTGCAAATTCAACTCAGCTGTTATGAAAATGCACTGAGTATAAGCTATATCTCAAACATTCTGTAAGATCCTAAAAGAAGATATTTGAAAACATCATAGGAAATATCTGCTATAGAAGCAGAGATTTCCCCTCACCCCCCCCCCCCAAAAAAAAAAAATCTTAACCATAAGGAACACAGTAAACTGTGTGCTGCAGGCAGTCAAGAATGACTGCAACTAAATGAGAGAGAAATAAAAAATTGACTAAACAAAAAAAGAGTAGCGCTCCAGAGATGGTCAAACCTGAATATCAAACACCCAGCACAAACCAGCAACAAAATGTTATTAATGCCAGAACCAGCGTATTTATGTCTGGTTTCATTTTTTCTCTGACTTTTCAGACAGGCGCTCACTTTTTTCTCTCCTAAAAATGTATCTTTTATAATGTCATTGAACTAGAATCTGTAAAATGAAAAGTACAGTCAGATGAGACTAATCTTCTCATTCTGTTGTATGTCTTCATTCAGCATTCCCTGATGTCCATGATACAGAGCAGGAGCATCACTTTTAAATGCAGAATTCTAAAACTGTATAAAATAGCATGATAATACATGCAGTAGAAAAATTATTGTTGATTGCAGTGATCTGGGGATTTCAGTCCAGTTCTGAAACCATGCAAACGTTAGCCCGACAAAAAAATGTGGGTCGTAAATAAAGGGTTCTTTAAAATAAGGCAAGTGCAGCAGTAGCATCCTATCACTTCCACTGGTGTCAGTGGCCAAAGGGATTGATTCCCAGAGCGTACACATTTGAGTCGCCCAACAAGATTTCCACAGAATAACCAAAAAACCTCCGAGCTGCCCCTGTACGATGATCAAGTGGGAATCTCAGAACACTCACTCTGGAGTCAGTTTTGCAAAGATCAAAACAGATCTTTTCATATTCATCATTTATTGACAGTGCCATTGCAGGACAAATACTGACTTTGTAGGTGAGTTCTCTACCTACTGCATCTGCTCATGTGTCTCCAGGTGAGCTCTGGTGGGATGATAGCTGCCTCACTACACCAGTACTCAGACGGTGACTTCTCAGTGGCTCTAGCTTGTAGCCCAGAGTGCTAATTTATGCCATCCCAGAGGAGTGAGTGAATGTGCCTGCAAGAGGCAGGGGAAGCACCTCAGGAAGAGGACCTCTTAAATCACCCTAAAGTGCACTGTCAGGGTTTGCCTGGAGGCTCTCTGGAGATTGCCATTTAGGGGATTAAACTTTTTTCCAAGGAAAATTTTAGTTACACCAAAGCAAGTCATGCCAAGTGCCTGATTTCAGCGTTTTTTCCTAGGCCAGCATCTCCTAACCTGGGGCCACAACATCCTGACATCTCATGAGGTCTTCAGCTAGCCCACAGCCCCCAGCAGCACTGCTCGCTGGCGGCTGCAGCAGTGCATGGGCTCTCCCCTCCACACACATGGACTGGCCAGATATGTCACAGCGTGTCAGGGTGACCCATCTTTTGTGTGCCTTTCCTTGAGAAAAACAGCTAGGTGCAGGAATCCCTTGGGGAACCTCTATGTGCCATGATAACCACCCAGAAGGGCCAGGTTTGAGCAGCCCATAGCAGCCACCTTTGAGCTATACATTTACTGGATGACTTTACAGAACATATATTCTCAACGGGAGCCAGAGCACAGAAATTCTCTGAACTGCAGCATCATTGATTTGAGCTCCCAGATTACTCAATCAGCACTGATGAAATGGATTAGTAAGGCAAAACCCCTGTAGCACAGCCTTCAGGGACTCTCGCCACGCTGCTGTTTGCTTCCTGACCATCTGGATCCCCTGCAGACACCACCCTGGCTCCTGTTTCGGAGCCCAGGCTC